TAAGAAGTAATCTGATGGGCCTTTGTAATATTAGGCCTAATCATCGGCAGCGGGGTGATCAACAGAGAATTCTTTTCTTTAATTTGTCTGCCATTATTTGCTCTTGTTATTCAGTATGTTCGTATTCCATTCAATAAATGAAATGTTGCGCGCTTTTGATTGTTTTGCACACGATCGATTGGAGACGAAGCGGAAGTAAACGTCACAATTTAGCGCCCCCAATAGTTTATTTTTATGACTCGGTTAGTTTAACCATGGATGGTGGTAAAACTAACCACGTTGAATAATCCAGGTGTGAACGACATAAGATATACCAATTTGAACGTACCCATGGTCTCGGTAAAATCTTCCCTTTTTTAAATCCAGTGTGATTGCAGCTTTATTTACCTTCATTTTTGCTTGTTCTTTTTCCTGGTAATCTTGTAGTTTTTGTTTGGCTGCCACAGTATTTTTTAGCTGTTGTGCTTCTCTATTCCGTTTTCTGGCAGCCATTCTTGCTTGAAAATTATCACTGCAAAAATAAAATATGATCATCATTTAAATTATTATACCATAAAATCTCCTACCTTTATACTTACAATACTGTATATAATCAATATATAATATCAATTCAAAATAATATATTAAAATTAATAACATTCCAACAGCTTAAGAGATGTGATTATCAAAAAAAGAAGGAAAAATATTTCATATATCAAAATACAAATTAATACCTGCTGGTTCCCATCAACATGGAATCGTGCAAGTCAGGACTTGTCTGTCGTGCTCGCTTAGCATCCGCCCTACCTATACGTTTTTCAATTTTACCTTCGTGACCGGTAGCTCGGGGAACCAATTCTTCCATAACCTAGTATATAAAAAGTATTTTAATACTAAAAAATAATTAAAATTAATTAAAATTACTGTAAACAATCAGAGTGTGCAAGTAATAACTATAACAAATGAATCCAGATTAGACTAAAATGTGAGGCAAGTACATTCCTTTCGGAGGGGCACATTGTCCCTGCCCTCTTTAATTTTTTAACATAAAGAAATACAAAATACCATACAAATACTAAATGTTAAAATATTTTGTAACAGCAGTAGCAAATCTAGGAGTCTTGAAATGGGTGAAGGGGCTGATGGAGGGTGTGAAGGTGAAGGGGGCACGATGACTAGGTGAGGGAGAGCTAGAATTCCAAAATAAGGTGATTTGAGGTGATTTTTAACTACTTGAGCATGAATTTTTTTGGGGTAGGTGACTGGGAGTAGGGACTTAAGTATTTATTTTTGGGGGGAGGGGTGGGGACATGCATCTCCAGCGCACCCGCTAGACACGCCACTGTTTAACAGCATATAATGAACATGAATAATTGGACACATATTTATCTTTATAATTATATTACATGTAGGCCTGTATGAAATTGGTGTACCTCATTAAAAAAATTCTAGATCAACACCTGACTTTTCAAAAGTTGTTTACACTGCAGACTCTCAGTTGCTATACAATGCTATTTCATTTAAGTTATGTTATTTTTTTAGTTTGGATATGATATTGTTTCTCAACTATCTTTAACCGCCAAAATATTAAACTGAAAACCTACCATATCATTGTGCTTTTGGTATTTCTTCCTTTCATATTTCATTCGTTTCCTCTCATCCTCTTTATCTTCTTCTTTTTGAGCTTGTAAGAAAGTTGGCTGTAAAATTTTTGTCACAGTTGATGGTCATACAAATGACAATTATGAAACTTAGTTAAAAAACTAAACATGATCTTTTATTGATCAGTGTATTATAACATAATTGAGACTTAACTTTTTATTAAAATTCCTACTATCACTTCACACTACTTATTGTTTTTATGAACTTTTGAAAACATTTCTGTTGCATTTGGCAAGTTTACATATTTATTTTCAAAATAAAACATGAAAAAGTAAAGAGTATAATCCAAAATTTGGGGAGAAAAATAAATTTAATTGGGTTACTCAGTCTAGTCCTCAAGATACTTACAGGTAAAGTTGGGCCTTGGACAGGCCTAGACAATCCTTTGGTGGGCAAAGTGGGGCCTAGTACAGGCCTAGATGGTTCTCCTGAAGGCAACATGGGCCCCTGGGCCTTCTTTGGCCCATACAATGCATCAGATGCTGCCTTCAATTGGCTGCCAGCCTTTTTACCAAATGTTGAAAACGTTCTTTCACCAGGACTTGTCATAGAGCTCCATTTGCCGATATTACTACGAACTGTCTCAATGTTCTTGTTATTGACGGTGGCAGCAAACTTGAGAAATAGAATTTAGATAAAATAAATACAAAATTGCATTAGAAGATGTAACAATCCATTCTAGCATATATAGAATCCAGAATTCATATTTTTCAATATGTTTTAATTTGAGGATTAAGTGCAGAAATATCAAATTAGTTATGAAAACGTAAAAAACAAACATAGACTAATACATATTTAATTGAGGTTGCAATAAAGTAATATTAAGTATACTATTCTCTCTTTATACTTAATTAAAGGCATCATCATACAGTAATTACGCAAGCAGGCTCGAGAAAATTAATTATATCAGTCTTTCTTTAACTTAATTTACATTTAGTATACTATTAACATGAAGCGACAACAAACATAGAATCCTCCATGCTCTATGTTGTTGTACATAGTCATAAAATAAAAGCTGTAACAATGAGGGCAGAGGTCAACTAGAGATGACCATGAGGTTAGTCCAATTTATCACACCACTGAGTCAACCATGTTTTTTGAAAAAGTTTGAATAAATTCCAATCAATTCTTTAACTGTCTTACCTTCCATTTATATTTAGTTTTGGAAGACGCAGATACATCTGTCGTATCAATTCCATCATAGAATTTCTATTAGTAAATAAAAATATAACAATAATGAATTTTTAAATATGTACCTGTTTAATAAACAATATAAATGTATTGTTAATGTAAATATGTCAATATAAATGAATAAATTTGAATTTTATTGTACTTAAACAAAAAATTCAATAATTTTAATAATTATGACTATGATGTTAATTTAAATTATAATTATCAAATCATAATTATATTTAAAATTATTTCAAATTATTTTGTAAAGAAATAAATTTTGATTGCAATGCAGATATTTTCAATTTGAATTAATTTATATAGTTAATTGTATATTGTATAGTACTATAAAAACATATATGTGGTGATAATAATAATTTGTTTCTTTTAATATTAGTTTCTTTCAATTTACTTTTTAGATACTTTTGAATTGCACATTCTAAACATTATTTTCTGTATATTTTTTTAATATTTATACTGTTGTCTATATCTTAAGTAATATATTATGTTAAACTGAAGTGTGAATCTAATTTAATTTTCTTGGAAAGCAGTGCTAATCACTGAATGGTTACAACCTGAATAATGTCTTTATTCAGAGTGTAACCAACCATTCAATGATTAGCACTACTTTCCAAGGAAGCCCTGGTAATAATAGTAACATAGTCAGTCAAAATGCAAGTCATAAATAACAATAATTGAAAGTTTGAAAGGCGGTCAAATAGTACAGAAATAGCAACAAAAAAAAGTACATCATCAACATAACAATGTTTAGTATGGTTGCTGCCTCTTGCATGTCAGGACAAAGGCCTGGGTTCAAGACCCGGCTCTGCAGTCGTGTATTGAACTTGGGAGTTTTATAAACACTTAGGTCATCAAATAACCCTTTCAGGAGAGTTAAGCGAGTTTAAGGACCATGTTTACATCTGTTGTATGTTGTAGTTTCAGTCGGGTAGCATTGCACTGCGGCTGTCGTGGGTCCCCAGAGAAATTTCCAGTGTTTATTACATTTGAGGACAAATAAAGATTTATTATTACTAATAATATTATTATTATTTTTCAAAGTTCATTATGATTCAAAATTAAAATGGTAAAATACATGGTTTTTATATGAAATAATATTATTAATTATGTTTTTAGTCCCAATAAAACAATATTCAACCATAAAAAAAAATTGTTTACAGTGCTTTTGAAGAAGTGTTGCTGATGCCATATCATGTGACCCCACCTTTGTTAATGAGCAATGCACCTAAAGCAGTTGATATTGCTGAGTACTCAATAGCTAAGCCATATAATATAAGTAGCTATTTTTCGACTGACGTTCTATAACAATTTAACAACAGCCTATCCTTACATGTGTCTTGATACTTAAATTTACAATTACTTACACATCACATAAATGAAAAACAAATTTTAAAAAAAATGGACAAATATATTATTTACTGTTAGCTAGCATAAAATTTGTGATTTTTCAGATAGTTGCAAATGTTATGTTAATAACAGTCAAGCAAAGTATCATAAAAGTAAAGAAGGAAGTTCTTTTTAAATAAACTGAAAGAGTATATCATGATATCTCATAAGCCTTTTCAAGATCATAGGAAATAGTTGACTATTATTCAAAAAGGGTGCAGTCGGCAGATGTTCATACCAATTCATGGTTACTAATCACTAACATTGAAAAATAATTCTCAATAACTGAACTCCAACAACTTAATCTCCTACAAAAGAGATACTTTAAAATCAAGAGCTACTTGACTTGATTTGATTTTTTTTTGTATAGAACATTCAACAAGAAATACAACCATTAAAATTACAAAAGAAAAAAAAAATACATTCTTATAACTATGACTTTAAAAATATGATGTCATTCTTCCTATGCATACACAAAAACAGTCAAAAAATAAAAGGGGGTTATAGTTAATAGGCCACTTAAGTGACAATTTAGACTTGTTCCTTTGATCTACAAATGTCGCAACTACTTTAATAGGCTTTATTATGACGTAGATCCAACGGCAAAACAATCCACTTCTAAATCTTATCAGTTTTGGTAGGAAATGAAGGCTGGACCTTTCCGGCCAGGATGTCCAAAAACACTTGTAACTTACCTGCCATTCAGAAAAAAGATCTATTCTATTATTTCACTGTCATTGGAAGTCTCTCTAAGTTAAATGCATTGCTTGTGAAATGATAGGAAAACAAAGGAGATTTTAATGTTTAACAGAATGTAATGTGCGGTTTGATTTTGAATTCGTAATCACATTTAAATCCTGTTGGAAGAAATAACAACACAAATTGGACTGAGATATATAAAGATTTGGATTGAACTAAATTTCCCAAATTTTTACTGTATGCCAGAATGGAGGACTACATAAAAACCATTTCCACAACGATAGTACTAGGCTGTTATTTTCTAGTCATCATCTGTACAGACCCAATTGAAGGTCAGATAACACTTACTCAATGGCCGCAAAAAACGACAACTGCACGTCCAGGAGAGAACGTCACATTACCATGCCAGGTAACTGGAATTGATCCCAAAATTTATGCGATTTTGTGGCAAGCCGATGAAAAACCTATCATCAGTGACAAACTCGAAGGGTATGTAAATGATCAAGACTTCAAACTTTCAATTGACGGAAATAAATACAATTTGGTTATCACAGTCACAAGTTCGGTTGTTTCAAGGTACAACATGTCTACCTTTGTTTGTACAGCAGTGAAAATCGATAAACCAAATACACCACAAGTTCGAACATCTCCTTCCACTCTGCTGATTAAAAATTGGACTATAGATGCGCCAACGTGCACTGACCAACCTGATGAGGACGGTTTGATACGGTGTCAATACGCAGCAGATCTGTTGACCTCCGCCACATTAACTTTACTTGGAAACGTACGACAAATTGAACCACAAATGAGGAACACAAGCAATTACATATTCTTGGAGTATAAGCCAGAGGCGATGGACGTAAACAAAATACTTCTCTGCGAAGTCACGCATAAAATCTCTGGAGAAAGTAGAAGCTGTACGACAGGTTTGTTGAGCATTATTACTAAGGCAACAACAATGAAATCCATTCAGATTACTACCGCAGCATCCCTCACATCCGTGGTTACAACAAAATCCTATCCAATTTCAAAAACAATAACTACTTGGATTGTCATACCTATAACTGCTGCGCTTTTTATCGTGTTAATTGTAATATTTTGTATCGTATATTACGTTAGAGTAAATCGGCACAAAAAAGCCAACAACATGCAATCCATAAATATGACAGGTGTGATAGCAAAGAGCGTCACAACGGAGCAAAATTTGACAGTGAGACACAGCTATGAAGATATAGATAACGTACATGTTTCAATTACTCCGTACAATAATCATCCAAAGTCCCACGACACCCATTTATCTAATCATACACATCTTACTCAAGCACATACGTCTGAATTAGAATCACAAAAAAAGAAAATAACGCATGAATATGAGGTGATTGATAACAAATCTGATCAACAAGGCCTCAACAAAAACGAACCAGGAATTGCGAGCGCAAACCATATTATGGATCAGACAACAGAGTTGACAGGAGAGTCAACAAGTGACCATCCTATGCATGAATATGCAGTTTTAAATCCAGAAATTAATGATGAACAGATTGATAAAAGCAATGAAATGAACGTACCTAGTAAACAAGAAGACGATGAAACTGAGGAAGCATATTTGTGGTGTAGAAATGATCTGTATGAGTCTTGCGACGACCTCTACATTCAAAAGAATGGGACCGGTCTTAATACAGAGACCTCCATATCCCAATGAACTGCACCTGACTTGTATGACAACCAATCACTGGAGGATAATTGTGGATGTTTGCATTTTGAGCAGGCATGAAGAAGAAGCATAGGTAGAGCATGCTAATTCTGACCTGTATGTGCAAAAAATGCGACTTTTTAGCAGTACAGGTCTCTCTCCAATCAAAGACCACTTTTGAGACCTTAATGGGATTGGATTTGGTCAGTGTGAACATAGGCCACAGAAATATGGTCTTTAATTGGAGCTGGTTTTAATTATAGGAGTCTTTAATTAAGTAACTTGCGATTTAGTCGAATGGTTGTAGACTCTACATATACTTCTATTTATTCCAGGTGATTAACAATAACATTTTTATAACAAACTAATAATAATGAGTCTATAACAGTTACTAACAATATTTGTACTACTATGGAAATACTAATAATATATATAATATACTGTACACATTAATTATATTATAATTCTCTTTCATCCAATAAAAAGGTACTAGAAAGGAGTTGTTTTACTTTGATAATATACAGTATGACAAAATCCTTGAATTTTACAAAATATAACCCAGTTCCCTAGAACTTTAAGATGAGCATATTAAGTTTAGTTTATACTATATACGATCTAGATGCAATTTTACAGAAAAATAAGCAAATTCTGGTTTATATTAAAGAAATACAATGAATTTATCATCTTTGTTGTTTTTGATATATTGTTTGATATTATTGTTTGCTTTTATTGCAATATGATATACTATTAATGTTTGCAACTGTTGTTACTGATGTTCCTGTCTGAGCTGAACTTTATTGAACACTTTTGTATCAGTGGCTCACACCATCTGGTGGTGCATCCAAATAACAAGTAATATTTCACAAAATACAAAGAAAAGATAAAAAAACAATCAAGACGAACGAATCAAAATGATAGAAAGTAATCATTAATTAGTACGATGGAAGGAATATTCCATGACTAAGAGATGGGCTGCCCAAATCTACAAGGCGGAGCCTAGCCGAATGGAGCAGTCAAGTTTCAGAGAATTACTCAATTACAATCAGTACTGTTGGTCTTAAATTTAAAACAAACCTAAAAAAGGTCCTTGTCCATTGCCACCATCACCATGATCATTATTGTCATTACTGAATTATTTGAAGGATACTATTAAGCATTACTGGCTACAGAAAATATGATTAATTAATAAAGCCCTATAGATCCAGACTATCAAATTTTACCAAGACCTAAACATGACATGCCTAAATAATGTCAAGATGACATCACATCATGATCATATATAGGCACACCATGACTATATATGTGCATACAAACGTTTTTTGTAAAAGAATATATAATAACCTGGACAGTGTCTTAAAATTAAGTGATTTATTTTTTATTTATTTATTTGCCCAACATTTACAACAACAATAACAATGAAATATATTGTGTAAAAATTGAAATGCTGGACAGAGGCTTAAGCAAAGTACATTGAACTCAAAAGAGCCAGCTCCCCCTTCAAATAATTATATAAAACAATAATATGTTTTACAAATAGAAAAATACAAATTAGGCCTACTTTATTTAAAATTATATAATATTTACAAGAAAGCTAAAATTTGAAAAAAAAAAAAAAGAAAGAAAACATACAAAACCCCAACAAACAAAACAATCACAATGAATATTAAATAGATGAATGTACCAATGTATACACTATCCCTATATTACTATTACAACAGGTCCAGGGTAGCCGTTGCTTTGGTGATCCAGGGTAGAATTTTACCATCTGCATTTCCAAGGACAGAGGCTACAAAAGCGGAAGTGGTAATACAACATAACCAAGAAGGTTATACTTCAACTGCAACTTTCACATATTCAGCAATGCCTGTAAACAACCTCATAATACTGGTGGAGTACTCAAAGAAGCAGGTCAAAGAAGAAGCATGAAATCTCACCAGCCAATATAAAAGGATCAACAATTGCTAAAAGTGTTGTTGTATTGTCATCAATTATATATATACTTTGAAGATTTTAAGAATAAAATACCTATCAGGAAGTAATCAATTTATACAGTTATAAAGTATCAGTAAGTAAACAATTTATACAGTTGTTGTATTGTCACCCATTATATTTATTGAACTTTTTAAGAATAACACGAGGATGTAATTAAACCATTTTATACTGTAAGTGGACAATTTATATTTACCACTGGTGTTAAAAGTGGAATACATAAACATTAAAAGGAATGTTTCACAATGTTACCAGTATGAAAACCAAAACAAATAAAATTTGCATTATCCGTTTTCAGAGATTTTTGAGCAACATGCATATGAAACATTCTATGTATTTTTATGAAGAAATCATCATATTTGTAAATATTAACACAAAAGACAAACAAATAATATTATCATGGCAAGATATTACTGAAATGTAGATTCCACATTGAATCATTAGCAACATAAAACATCTTTTTGATTTTTGTATCATGGTCACTAAGGTAATTATAATTTTAAAATTGATACTATATTGCATCTAATTTATTAATCAGTAAAATTTACTCACCACAACACAAGGGAAATTATCTCAGGCCAAAAAAAAAAATTTTGTTTGTTTGCCTTTCTTTTTTTAAAATGATAAATAGGGGCGGGTGGAAAAAGTTTTTCATTTATTTTTTAAGATACTCATCAGATGGAATAAAAACAACCCAGAGGTCTAGAATCGCAATATCTTACACCAGACAACAACTTAGACTAATTTGTAGGGCATCTGGTTAAAAAAAAGATAAATTCACTCACATTTTTTTTTGTAAAGAAAAAAGCTAAAAAAACCTATTAATTTTTTTTCCCACCCCTATTTTTTTCAGGGAGTTAAGGGGCGGGTAGAGGAGGGAAAGCAAACAATTTTTTTTTGTTTGGCCTCAACTTCATGGCCTTTTTGAGCCATACATCGGTAGGAATCAAAAACAGAACAAAGATGTGTGGATTTGTAATTATTTTTATAATGTTGCCAAGACTTCCTATTATACACATTGGCTGCACTGCATATTTTTGGACTGAAACAGATTAATTGTTTAAATGAACAATTTAGGCCTATAGCTGCTGCAGTTATAAATTATATTTAACATATTCATAAGGTATGCAAATATTAATTAAAAACCTAATAACATTTCATAAATTTGTAAATTTAAAATGTATTTTCTTTTTCTTACCATAGTAAATTAATTTATATTTCTATAATGTATGCAAAAATAATAAAAAATACTAAAAAAATTAAAAGATATGCTGTTGTAATTTATAAATTATAATTTTACAGTAATTTTTCCAGCAATGATGTCTTTTTAATGTTATTATATATTTTTTTTCTAAACCCATCTTTTCTTTTGTTTATATGTTGTATAGAAAATTCATAGCGCACCAAAAGCAAATTTCTGATGTATTTATCATGTTACATAAAAGCTGTGAAACACAGTGCATTCATTCGTTCCTTTATTCATTCAATATTTATATGTTTGGCATGAGTACTTAATGTGAACTATTTTCTTTGATTCAGAAGTTGCAGTCCAATGACATTTTTAGGAAACACAGACAAGATGCATAAAATAGTTTACATCTTGATTGTTTTGATTTCCTGTACATTTGCAGATGTTACATTTGTTACCAGGCCACCAGGAGAGGTGAGGACATTCCCAGGACGGCAGGTTACATTGCCCTGTGCAGTGGAAAACTTTAATGAAAACCACAGAGTCCGTTGGCTTCAGATTGAAAACAGTGGAATAAACCATATTTCAAATAACAGGCATGTAATCACAACTAATCTTGATAATATTGGTGAAAATTTTGCAATCTATGGTGATGGAATGAACTATACTCTCCTCTTTAATATACCAGATAGCTTTAATTTTGGATCTGATCTCAAAGTTACCACATTTTATACATGTACTGTAACTCAACCAGAAGAAAATGTAAGTAATATTTCAGCAAATTCAAAAGTCATTATACAGAAACAGCCAATTCAACAGACAACTCAACCCCCACTTCAACCTCCAATTAAAATTCTAATTTGTGGATCAATTCAGACTTATTATGTCATTGGAGATACAATAACATTAGGATGTTTCAATGATCCAGATCCTACTATCATTACAACTTTAAAATCAGAAAATGGAGAAGTTTTGCCTACCAAATTTAATGGTTCCCACACTATTCACAATTTAAAGGTAACTAAAAACGACCATGGAGCAAAATTTAAATTTGAATCAAGAAGAAATGGAACAAATGAGATCAAAAGCTGCTCAATAGGCCCAATCACTGTCAACTACAAACCCGAGATAAACATCACACAAATATCAGCAACGGAATTCAACTGTACAGCAGAGGCTAGGCCTTCTGTTAATGAAACACACTGGATTGTGGAGTCTAGTATTCCAAAGGACAGTTTTATGATTTCAAACAATGCTTTAAAATTTAATGAGTCATTGAAAGTTGTTTCTGAGATGAAAATAACATGCGAGGCAGAAAATACCATTGGAAGGGGAACCAAGACTTTGAGTATTACAACTGTGAATAATAAGGATGAAGAGGATGGAAGTAGCATCATTCCAGTTGTGAATACCAGGGATGAAGAAGATGGATCTGACAGCACTTTAGTGATTATCGTAGTAATTTGTGTTGTGGTTGCATTTTTAATAATTATTTTGTTTTTGATAAGAAAGCGAATTAAACATCAACAAACATCAAAAATCAGGAATACGTCAGCTAGATTTAGGAGAGATGATCCTCAGGCTGAACTAAAAAATGAAGATCCAAAAGGACTTGTTTATGATTATGCTGCGATCGACGTCAACAAATTCCGCGCTGATTATCAGGAAACAGAAAATGAAATATACATTGATGGTGATACGTTAAACAGCGATGAGACTGACACAGCAAAGAAACAATCAAATACAAAACTTAAGGATTTGGATCAAATTAGAGATAATGTTAACAAAGCTCAACCTAATACAGATTGTGAAGAACTAAACAAGGAACAACAGGTTTATTCTTATAAACCTGATTATAAAGAGTGTGAAAATGAAATCTATCAGGGTCCTGAATAATAAGAATATTAAGAGTCACCAATGGTCACATGATAGGGTCCTGAATAATAAAGTGACACTTTGTCACATACTTTTTACTATAGTTTAACTACATTTTTTAGATTTTTATATTTATGTTATGCAATGTTATATTGACCATGATTTTTAAAGGGGATCTCCAGGTTTAAAATTTCTATTAAAATATATAGAACAGTCAGTATTTACCTTGCTGATAAGATTTTCACAGGTGTTTAGAGAACGGTAGTGCAGAACGAGCGCTGCAAACTGGGCCCCTACAAGTGCTGACTACTAAAAATTAGAGCATAATATTTCTTAATTTATATTCAAATCTTGTATTATGTTCCTTTTATTATTTGCTTTGTAAATTGTTTTTATTATGATTTATGTGAAAAATTTATATTTTTATTTACTTTTATTGTAATGTTTATGATACTTCGTTTTATTTTTTATGTTCTGGTGATAGAACTTGTATAGGTGTAATTTAATTATTTGTTAGCTTATTATTGATTAACATATATATATACAGTAGAACCTCAATTTTATGTACGGTATGGGACCAAAGGGCATACGTAAATCGGGGGATTCGTAAATAGAGGTTGGGTTAAATTTGTGGTAACCTTTGATCTAATACGTACGTAACGCTCAATAAACGTATGTACGAACAAACGATGTTACTAGGATAGACCTAGCCTCTATAATTATTTAAAATTATTTTGTTCCTTTTATTATTTGCTTTGTAAATTATTTTATAATAATTAATGTGTATAATTTAGATTTTTTATTTTCTTTTATTTTATTGTTAATGATATGTTTTTTTCATGCTCAGATGGTTGAACTAGTATAAGTGTACTTTCGCTTAATTTCCTCCACCTTGATACTATTGTTTATTCTATGTTGTGAGCTAAATCTGAATAAAATAAAATAAATAAAATTCTTACGTAAATTAATCTGATCTTTTCATTTATAAGAGTTAATTATATTAGTTAGTAATGCAGAAAATGGTGCGTTTTTGTTGTTTGTTGTACTTTTGTTGTTTAACAATTTCCAGGCCTACTACAGGCCTGGCCCACCCTAGCAGATAATCAGAAACAATCAAACAACAATTCTGAAATTAAATTTGCACTTTCACATACATGCCAACACTCCCGTTTTAGCCGGGAGATTCCTCTTTTGACCTGAATCCTGGCCAATTTATTTCTCATGTTTTCTCACATGCTCTCCCGGTTTACAAAGGAAATTGCATAGGTGTACTAATCTTAATTGTATTGTCTTTTTTGCAATAAAATACTCAATATTTAATCTTTCAATATTCTTTTCCTTTTATCTTTTTTTATATTGTTATAATGGCATCACGGCCTTGTTGAAAACACCGGTTGGGTGATACAAGCTTCCGTGTGTAAATAAAGATTTTATTATTATAATATTTGGCTCTGTGACAGAAAAGCCTCTCTGTGAGTGGTATGAGAGATACGGATGTGACCGCTGCAAAGTCATGCTGGCCTTATAGTATGACACTGGATCATAATTACAAGGTGTCTCGTCGGTAAAGACTCTAAGCATAAGAATCATGAGATTTATCCTTATGATACATTAATGCCTGTATTCTTAAAACGAACTTTAGTCGAACTTCTAACTAGAGCTTCACTTCAACTTAAATTTGTATTCATAAACAACGTAGTCGAAGTTCTAACTACGACAAAATCAAGTCCTAGTTTTAGTTCAGCTTAAGACGGCTGGCAACCAATGACTACCAAGCTAACCAATGAAAAGAGCAAATTTTAATAGCAGATTTTAGAGATCCGGTAACACGGATGAATATTGAGCTGCCGTCTGTTTCTTCATAATTCATAATGGCCCATCATTTGCTTAATCAATTTTCTATAATAATAACTATATTAATCGTTAACATAGCGAAAATATACAGTCACTGAAAATTTGTTTTCTTTGGAGAACTATTATATTTATGCCTGAGCGAGGGTGGTGCCATCTTTGTTGTTGTTACAGTGAAGCGAGGGGAATTCGTGCAAACTAGCAACTATCGTATGTGCCCAGCAAAAGAGGTTAAGTTTTGAAAGCTAAACTTATGTCTTTTTTCTTGAATACACTGAAGATACATCAAACCTACTTATATAACCATTCTTATTCTTTTCAGTATAGCGTGAGTTACAAAAACACATTTTTAGTGGGGTTAATATTAAAAGTCGGCGATTTAGCCAGACCCTAGGCCGACTAAAAAAATTGGCCTGCTGAGGAATCATTTTAGTAGAGGTTTGCGTCATTTAGTCGTAGTGCAAAATGAAGTTCGTTTTGAGGATACAAAATGATGTCATTTATAAGTTTTAGCTAGGACTACGATTAAAGTTCATTTAAAGGGGGGGTGCGGGGATGAAATAATTAATTTTTAATTTAAAATAGAGGGATGGGCGACCACAACGACGGTGACAGCACTCGATTTTGGAGCGCGGTATTCGAAAACGAGGCTCGTGAACTAGGTCCCAAAAAAAAACTGGTGCTACAGGATTTTGAGCTAGTGTTATAAGATAGGGAATTTCCTAAAATGTACCGAGTTTCAAAGGCTTGCATTCGGTAACCCCATAAAAAATCGTGTCAAACTTTAGATATTCCAATGTAGATTTGGCCGTTCTTTTCATTTATATGGGTTTTCACTTATGAAAATGTCTCAATTA